CAACTCGGCGAACTCGCGCCAAGGAGGAAAGACGTGTAGNTGAGGGGGCTGTTAGGATGATCCGAACTGGGGGTAGCTTGTCGCAAGACGTGTGTTGAGAAGGGTGTCGGCAACTCGGCGAACTCGCGCCAAGGAGGAAAGACGTGTAGGGTTTGTTGCATAAACTTCTCCTTCACATGAACTCACATCAACTTACATGAAGTTACATGAACTGAACGCACGCGTGCACGCACCACCATGAGGGGGCGACGCAGTATACAATAGGGGTACCTTGCACATCCTGGAAATACATTCCACGTACCCCACAATCCTACAACCACTTGGCATTGCTACAAGTATATCTATCAGCCCCCCTGCTTGTGACCATGCCATGTCTTTTTCGATCCTAAATAACTCCAAAACACAAAAATATAAAAATAAAATCAGAAACTCAATTCAACTCCAGAACAAAACCCCACTGGCTAGACATCAATAACCATCCCCGATCATACCGGTTATACTTCTTCGAACTTCAGTGAACTCGTTGCCCTCCAGCCTAGAACATCATCCATTGAGAAAAACCGTAGGCAAAAATGTAAAATATTGCCACCCCAGTTGTTTGTTTGATCCACACAAAAGAAATCCAAACACCAATATATTAATCCATACTCATCACGTAGTTACGGTGAAACTCAAAATCTCCCGCGTGAAGTGCTTTCGTGAGAAAGTCAGCATGTTGATACGCCGATTCCACGTGAAAAATCGAAATCTCCTTCCTGCCTACCAGTTCCCTGATAAAGTGGTGCCTTACGTCGATGTGCTTCGAGTTACTGTTGCTTATCGGGTTTTGCGCCAACTGAATAGCCCCTTGGTTATCCTCGAACACCGGAATACATGGCATGCCTGCTTCTGGTAACATGAAACGCCACACCCGCCTCAGAAACAGCACTTCCTTCATCACATCCGCAAGAGAGACATACTCCGCCTCTGTCGTGCTCAACGTAACGCACTTCTGGGTCCTTGAAAACCAAGACATACATCCCCCCCCACACATCACCAATCCCCCTGACACAGACCTCCTATCGGCAGCCTTACTTGCTGCATAGTCTGCGTCTGCGAACACATTCCATGCTCAACCCTGCTACACTACCCCTCATGAATGTAATACCCAAGTCACTAGTCCGTACCACATACCCTAACATACCAAGCCCTGCTCTCCAATGAATTTCTTTGGGAGAGGCACAGTACCGTGCTACCGCTCTTTCTGCATTCGCGATATCTGGCCTCGTTTGCGTTGCCAGCCACATCAATGATCCTATCAGCTCACGAAAAGGCCATGATACCACTTCCTCATCCTGGTCAAACTCTGAAAGCTTCAACCCTACAGGAAGAGGAATTTCCTTCCCGTACTCTACCCCAAACTCCATCCCCAACTCTTCAGCGTACGTCTGCTGCGAGATCTTCAAAGTTCCTGCATCCCAATCTCTCTCATAAAAACATCCAGAGTACCATCTCAAATCCCCAAGATTCTTCACAGGTACCATGGTGTTGAGGTCCCTGCCAAACTGGTCACACCTCTCCTCTTCTCCTATCGAAAATATATCATCTACATGTACCACCAGAGTCACTACCACTCTTCCCTCCTCAATCAACCGAAACACACACGTATCCGCCATGCACTGAATAAATCCCAAACAAATCAAACACCTTGCCAAGGGTGAATGCCACTGCCTTGATGCCTGCTTAAGGCCATACAGACTATTGTTCAACTTCACGATCATACCTGACAATCTACCACACCCCTCTGGCAGACGCATAAAAACATCCTCATCCAAATCCGACTGGACAAATGCCTGCTTGATGTCAAAATGACGGAGAGAAAGATTTTGCTCACACGCCATCGCTGCCAACAAGCGAACGCTAGAAACCGCTACAGTCGGTGCATACGTTTCTCCACAATCTACATGTACTCGCTGCATATCTCCTCTCGCTACTAGCCGTGATTTCACATTGGTTGGCCATGCATACTCGTCAGATTTCCAAAAAACACCCACTTCGCCTTGATGACACTTTCTGGTGGCTACATTACTTCCTCAAAGGTACCAGCCTCCATAAGACCTCTGAACTCCTTCTCTACAGAGTGTATCCACAAGTCAGCATCTTGAGAGGACACACCCTATACGTTTTGGGCACGCGCAAGTCGCTCGCGTAGCACTGTGTCAAGTCCGGTGCCACTTCCGGGGGATCTAAATCCATCATCGCGCGATCAATGTCCTCGCGGGAGGCAAGCAAGGTGGCGCACGCAAATGGGACTTCTTCACGCAGTCCTGCTTTTTTCGTGCCCCCCCGCTCTCGCCCCCTCGGCTCCGCTCCATCACGTCCTCCGGCTGAACTCGGGATCTCCTTCCTCCCCCCATCGACGATGCTGCGAGTGGTTAGAGTCGACAGGAGCGTTGCCTTGTCCTGCAGGGAAACAAGACCGAAGCGGTGGGCGAGAGCGTCGCCGCTCCCGCCAGGTGACGTCGACCGCTCGGCCCCCCCATCCTGAAAACGCACCCGCCGACCCCTCAACCTCTCGGCACCCGCGTCTCTCGTCCCAAGTCCAGCTCTCGATTGGCCCTGGCAGAGAAGGGCGGCATTGACGACGCCCGCCCCGCCCTCTGGTCCTTAGCGGCTGCCCTCGTGCGCCCAGAAACCCTCATCTCGCCGCGCCCCACGCACAGTTCACGGATGGTCCTCGTAGTGAGCGGCGGCATGTTGGTGGAAGGCGCGGCACCGGGCGGCACGGCGGCGGGAGACGGTATTACTGACGGTGCAGCGGCGGTGGTGAACGGTGAGGCCGGAGGCGAGGCGGCAGTGGTGAACGGTGTCGCGGCGGCGAACGGCGGTGCAGGCGGCGCGGTGGTGGTGAACAGTGGCGCGGCGGCGAGCGNTGGCGCGGTGGTGGTGAATGGTGGCGCGGCGGCGAACGGCGGTGCCGGCGGCGCGGTGATGGTGAAAGGTGGCGCCGCGGCGAACGGCGGTGAATGCGGCGCGGTGACCGGTGGCGGTGGTTTGGCTGCGGTAGGCGGCGCCGCCGGCGATGGTGGTGTTGAAGTTGCCGGCGGCGCCTGTGAGAGTATGGCAGCGGGTGAAGTGGGAGGTCGGGCATACGGTGAGGGGGGTAAGAGAGGCGGTGAAATATACTCAATTAGAAACGGTGCGGCGGCGACATTCGAATCTCCCCCCTCGTCCGCCGGCGCCGGCAGCTCCAGCGGCGGGGTCNCATCCACCACAAGGCTGCAGGACACCGTTCAGTCGGAGACCGTGCTGCTTTGCAAGCTCACGCAAACGAAACTCATTGGCGTGGGAG